TTCAGATATCACATCTAAAAGCTGCCAATGCATACACTTGGAAAGAAGCTCCATAGATCAATATACCAGACTTCAGGAGCAAGCTGTACTTTCCTAATCCATTTTCTGTGGATATCAACAAATGTACCAGTGCTGTTAATGGTTTAAGTTAATGTGACCATTACCAACCTAGATGTTACAATGGATGCAGACATTGAAATATTCACAGTATGGGTAGATACATAGAATAAAGGATGGAATGAAATATAGAAAAAATGACAGGGCAGCAGCTTATGGTAAACAAGTGGTGGTATTTGGCCCTGTGTTTCCAGTCTGATATCTAAGCACAACATTTTAGGACCTGAGTGGAAAACTGGTCTACAAATGAAAACATCAATTGATACTTTGAAAATGTGTGGTATATGGAGTAAGAGAAAGAAGGGTGACAAGATGAATGGCTTTTAAGATTAGGTTCTTTGGCAATGCAAAGGAAGCTGAGTTTGATGAATGGTATATTTTAAGAACAATATTTATGTAACGCTACTTATTTCTTGCACCTTGGAAATGATAACGGATGGCAACCAAAACACTAATAATGTTGATTTGTGATAAATAAGGAGACATTTCAGGAAAACCTTTACTTTTTCTAATGATGTTACTAATGATTTGGCATCAGAACACAGAATGAACTCCAGAGTGTTGGAAACAAATAAGCATTAAGTATAATGAAGGTTATCAATCTACAGTATTGTCCAACTACCAGCCATGCCTGAGATAATGGAGTTTCAATCAGGAATTTTACATGTAGTTGGGTACCACTAAAAAATCAAATAAGTTTTGTTTTTTAGTTACTATAAGTATTTAACATAATTTTGAGGTGTCAGATACAACCTTACAAAAAATACTTTTTATATTATTGTATGCTACAACATAGATGGGCATCCTCTAAAAACAGCAGACATAATTTTCATATACATTTTTATTTATACACAGATTGAATTGATCATACTTGTAATTCATATTACCAATCAACTAACAAAGCAAAAACTGTGCATTTAGTCAGAATTAAGGACCACTGGGTTCAGTGCTACTTCCTCCCATTTAAGTCTAGATAGATTTACAACCCAAGATTTCTTTAATAAAGTACCAGAAAAATAGTTGCATGTGGCTGGAGGGGAACACTGTGCTTAGCTGTTTCTATGCAAATGCTAGAAGCCTTCCAGCCAAAATGGGACATTTGGACTACCTGGTGATAAAGGAGAAGCTAGATATAGTGGGCAGTACAGAAACCTGCTGCAGCCGAGATAACCAGTGAAATAGATTCGTCTCTGGATAAAGATTGTATAGGAAAGACAGGGAAGAGCATACCAGAGGAGGTGTCACCCTCTATGTTAAGGAGGGCATAGAGTCCAGCAAAATTGATGATCTAAACTGTGAAAACTCTTCCACAGAATCACAATGGATGAACATTCCTGGCTCCAAAACTAACTTAGACATGGGAATATGCTATCCCCAGACCAGAATGAGATTAGAAATGAAATCAGGAAGGGCTCCAACGAAGACAGTGTTGTAATAAAGGAGGACTTCAACTACCCATGCATTGACTAGATAAATGCTTGTTCCAGTTTTGACAGAGGTTTTTTCTTGATGTCTTAAATGACTGTGCCCTGAAGCAGTGAGGCATAGAACCAACCAAGAGGGGAGGCAATCCTGAATGGGATTGTCCAGAACATATTACGGGATGTAAATGTTGAGACATTAGGTAATAGTGACCACACTCATATTGGATTTAATTTACAATTAGGTGGAAGACAGCCAAAGAGGTCGAACACAGTTGCATTTGACTTGCTGGCTCTGTGTTCCCTCCTTCACTAGAGGTGAGATGCCTGCATACACTAGTTGCTGAGGTCAGGAGCAGGTCTTGCCCCCTCCTGCTTGAGGGTTTCCATGGGGAGATGGTTTGTGACCATGTGAACAAGAGTGCTGGACCAGATGGAGCTTTGGTCTGGTCCAGCATGGCTTTACTTTTGTTCTTATATCGTAGGTGATGACCCAAATTAAAAATATTGATATGGCAGTATTGTACCATCTTGGATAAAACCCATCAGCCACTTCTGACAACCTCATTTTTTTCTGATAGGGTCAGTTGGGAATTCCTCCCAGACTCATTCTGTAGCACTGCTTGTTGGAATGCCTTATTTGATTACCAGTAAGCTGAACAATGCTTATTTTCATTTGAACTAACATTTAAAAACAATTATCCATAGAGTCACTTTGCATAGTTGTTCACAATGCATTCTCTTTCAACCCAATTAACAATTCAGTCACCTCAGATGGTCTTTCTCCCTGGTTTAACCAGATCCCCTTAAAAAATTTCTGAGGCAACAGAAGTGACTTCAAGTCATCTTATTCCCTGACCTCCCCTGAACAATTTCAGAATGCTAAAATAATTACTTATGTTACTGTCTGCCTCATCAGCTTCAAAAAGCTTTGAGAAGAGCACTTGCAGCAAAAATTAATGCCTAGAATAGTGACTATGAAACCTTTTCATTGGCAAGTCACAGTTCAAAGATGAATATTAAGGTTACATTTTATTTAAAATACTTATTATTTTAACTGCCATTTTCTTAGGCCTGCATTTGTACGATCTGCGATTGAAAGGTTCTCAGATTTGGCTGCACGGATTCATGAAATGATTTGGTTGCTTGCTTCGAGTTTTAACATCTGCCATACAATGCTTTCTGACATCCACTTGGTACGGAGAGCCAGCGTTATGTCTCAGGTTCACAGATACAAGCTGCACAGATTTGTATTCAGTAAAGTAATACTAAGCCCTCAAGGCACACAGAGCTCGTACTGGAATTACCAGCATCACTTCCTTGGAATTGGAAATCCTGAAATCCTTTCAGGTGATCAGCAGCCTAACATTACCCTGCAAAGTAAAAATTACAGAAAATGGTAGGACATTTGGATGCTGGAGAAAAAGGCATGTCAAGGAAGTGTTTCAAATCGAACCTGGGTAAAATAAAATTTAATGATTCAACAAGTGTTATCAAAATTCTGAAGTATGGATCTCAGATGGCCTTTTCAAAAAATCATTTACATATTGCTTCATCTCACTATGTGAAAGTAAGCACCATTAATTTTAATGGAGCCGGCTGTTGAAATAACTGTAGATACGGTTGCAGCCTAAAATGTAATGTGCAAAACATTCAGTACTGCGTCTGTTCTTGTATGTAGAAATCTGGCAAAACCCCATTGAAAATAATAGAGGTTGTACAGCATCCTCTTGGTGACTGTTTCCTTCACCTTCGGGCAAGTGAACCATTAGCAGAGCAGAAACCACCCATGTTCCAGCAATCTAAAGATGCGCATGAAAGATTCTTGGAAGCTGGGGGAAGAAAGGCATTTATACTGGTGCATCTTAGCAATACTGTAACACAACTCTGTGTCAGTATATCCTTTTACTTAAGTGTTCAAAGAGGCTAAGACTGTTCTCCTTCTCTGCATACCTTCCTAAGAATAAACCCCACCGAACGCAGTGGGACTTCCTTTAAGCTAGCATGCATTTAGGATTGTGCTGTAAGGTTCTGAAAGAGTATCCAAATTAGGATTTGGAAGGAGCAGAGAAGCAGATCTGAAATCTTCCAAGCGCTGCCATACTGTTGTTTTCTACATTCACCTTGTCCTTGAAACCCTCTCCTTCCCCCATTTTTCTTGCCCTTCTGACATTGGCATCAAGAAAACCTTCTTGTGCTGAGAACCTATAATATTTATTAATGTTCGTAGTCATACACTATTTAACATTACGAAATAGTAATTGGTATACAAAGGAAACAGCACTTTAAAGGCAATAAAACAATAGCATATGAATTTAGTGCAATTCAGGATCTGGTAATATACCTACCTAAAAACATACTTCTGGGAAGGCTTGGATTCTTCCCTCAAGGATTTATGGGTGTTTTTATATGAGACATTTATCATGCACTTGTCATTCCCTGCTCATGGTTGTGTACAGATTCTTTGAATGATGTTGTGACCTTTCAGTTCGCTTCTGAGACTATCCAGCACTTTTGAGTGGCTTCTTTTGAGAGTGGGGAAAATGTGGCATTTAACTGTGAAAGTGAAAGAAGCATGATACCCTCTTGCATTTGTGCTATTCCACTCTTCCACAGTAGACGTTGTGTGGCAGGACTCAGATCTCAATTCTGCCATGGTCAGTACAGCGGAAAAACAGCCAATAAACTGCATTATGTAAGCAAGTTCTGTAAGTAGAGACTAATCTCATCTAGAGCTAGAAGTGCATTGGAATTTATCCACTCATATCTTCCCTACCAGAGCAGTATCTGCACAGTTGGACAATGAGAACATTTCCAAAATTTAGACTGCCTTTTCTGTCTAGAGAGAAAAGAGCAGGGAGAAACCATTTCCATTCTTTGTCTGAACTTTCCTTGGGGCATCTGAGTGCTCATTTTTAGAGGCAGAATGCTAAATGAGAAGGCATTTTGGCCTCATGCATCATGATTATTGTGTTGTTAAATGTGTCACCTAAAATAAATTACCATGTATGTCCTAACCTAAGATTAAGATTCATTAGTCTTAGTCCCAGTATCTGACTCCATTGGGCCAAGTGTTAAATAACACAAAGGGCTTTCTTTCAGTTGTTGGTAATGAAAGGTTCCCCAAGTAGTATGTGCTGCATCGTGGAGGGTTTGTCACAGTGAGCACTGGTTATCAAAGACGTCTTCCCACAAAGGCTTCCCAGTTCCTCACCGTGTAAAGCAGAGTTGCCCTCAAGTAAATACATGGAGAACTCATGTAAATGGGGCATGTAGTATTAATGCATTTCAGCCTCCTGAGGATTCTCTCAAGTCAACTCCTATTGTGGTTTCTCAGCTGTTCAAACTGTAAATAATTAATGTGGAGAATGGCACTGCCGAGAGGGGGGGGGGGGGGGGGGGGGGAGAGAGAGAGAGAGAGAGAGACTGAGACTTACCAGCATTGCTTCATTATCTTCTCAGGCACACTATTTTGGAAGATGGAACTCTGAAGATTTCCAGTGTTACGAAAGCAGATGCTGGGAGTTACACGTGTGTGGCAACAAATCATTTTGGGGCAGCCAGCAGCACTGGAAACCTGGTGGTAAAAGGTAATGCGTTTCGTCCCACACCATTCTAATGCCTCAGCTCGAATGAGGTGACTCTTTTGTACATTTCAATCTTGAGAAGCTTTCAGTATAAAGTATTTGTTGCTAAAAGAAATAGGCAATTTTGGCCGCAAACCTGGAGCCATTTACCTGGGAACATGGTAAGATTTTCATCTGAGTTGAAATATATACACTTGTGCTGTAATGTCAGGATCTGAGGTAATTTTTCCAGTGAGCCTAGTTTTATGTAAAGTTGTTGACATATGTACATAGAGTACAGATACTGGAGAAAAAAATACTATTTTCTCCAATATTGTGAAATACTTCCTTATAGCCAGATCCTTGAGTCCACAGTTTTCTTTAAGCATACTGATTCCTGCCACCATCTTGAAATTAACATATCTAGGTCAGAAATCCCATTCTGACCCTACCTAAAACAATGCTAACGTGAAAAATGAGCCACTAAATATTAATAGGTAAGAGTACATGCATGCTCACAAAATGGCTTCAAGGCTAGCAAAACGTTCTGTTTGGTCTCCTCCTGCAAACTACCCAACACAAAGTGTATACTTTGAGGCATGAAATCTCTTAATTCAAAACTGTTCTTCTATTCTACATGTCTAACATGCATGATTACTTATAGCTCTTTTACAGCACAGGACTCTTTATCTTTAGCCTAAACTCGCAGGAGATCTTGTCATCAACGATTGTACCCCCAGAACATTTGCTCTGTTTGCATGCACAAGAAGAGGGTCATTTTGCAGTGCCAAGCTGGCAGGGTCATGCCTAGCAGAAGTGGATCTGCTGGGCTGGCTGAGGTTAGGTGCAAATCATCTGACCTCACTCTGGTCTCCTTGCTCAGCATTCCCTGGAGCTGTCTTGGGTAGATGCACGAGGAAGAATTCGCTTTGAAAGAATCAGAAACAAAAGAAAGTGGAAGTTGATGCTTATGCTCAGGCTTCAATGATCTTTGCTCTTCTTCTGGCCCAGGTGATTGAGGATCTTGCTATGCCAGGTTTGCTAGACCTCAGATTGGTAGAAAACCCTGGTTTTCTGTGAGTTTAGGACATTTCTTTTTGGTGCACTATTGATGTTCACAAATGGCACTTTGCTTTTAAAGTGACAAAATGGAGTTTGGAACAAGCAGACTTGAAAACCTTGCAGGAAATATGCACCATATATGAAGGGGTGTGTGTGTGATTCACTTGGGTATGCTGTTCCCACAGGCAGATTGTCAAGGCACAGGGACTCACTTGTGCTAGGCTGACTTCCCTCAACTTCCCTAGGTTATCACAGCAGTTTGGCCAGAATTGCTACTTCCCAGTATGTATTGTTCCACATTCCACCGGCCCACTCATGGCAGAACTTTTAGCTGATGTCCAGGGCTTCAGTCAGCACAGTGGGTTGCACCAACACCTGCCTTGCTCAGAGCAGTCTCAGGGTATTTTGGCACCCTAGATAAGGTACAGTTTTGTTATTTTCTTTGCCCGCTCCTCATCATACTGCAGCAGGAAGTGCACAAATGGGCTCTCCCTACCCCTCCCCTCCCAACATTTTACAGAGGTTTCAGAGTAAAGCCACAGGGCACCAAACAACCTCTGCACCAAGTTATGTTGTGTGGCAGAAGGTCTGGTAGCAGGAGGCAGAGGAGTTAGGAGAGGGAAACAATATGCCTCAGTGTGAAAGTGGCAGCATGCTGGACCAGTCAGATGCTACTTTGGGGATTCACCAGTATTGACCCTGTAATAGCAAAGTATCAGGGTCTCTAACTGCTCTAATGCCCTCATCGAGTGTCCATCCCCACAATTAGTCAAAGACTTCATGATGAGTTTTAAAGCTGGGCATAAAAGGCCTCTTGAAATTCACTACTCTTTCTGTGAGAAGAGAATTTGGGGAGTGGGAGACACTTTCACTGAATTTCTCTACGGGGAGGAGAAACACTCTAACAGTTTGACTCCAGCAGGGCTCATCATCTGCAGAAGTTGTAGCAGAACTTTTCTACTTTTTCCTGATGGTAGCAACATTCCCCCTGTCCCCCGGCATCTTCATCAGTGACCCATACCAAGTGTCATTCCAGGTCTTTGGGTTTGAGGGAGAGGAATGGAAAGCAGCCACTGCCTAGAAAAATGTTGAAGAACATCTGTGGAAAATTCTACAAAGTGGCCTGTTATTTCTACCTGGGTAAGGAAGGAGCAGTCTTAGATCTTTTCCGAGAAAACCGTATTGTGAAGCATTTTAGCTCACCTCTCATTGTTGTTCTTTAGGACTTAGAAATTTCCCCAGTTTCTTCCAGATGTTAGTCTGAGGTGTGATTGTGGCCAGCTGCAGGGAAGAAGAAGAGCTAGTGCTGTGCAAAAACCGGTCTTCATGTTTCCTGAAATTGTTCTTTCCTCGTGAGGGTGGCTGCCACTGTTCTGCTTTGTTTTGGAGGCTTTAAAATTTCTTTTGGGTCTGCTTCGGTGGAGTTCTGAGCATATCCAGTTGCTGCGAAGTGGCTGATGGTGGTGTGTGTGCGTCTCCCTCCTGTTGTGCATCCAGCACTGCTCTGCAGCCTCCCAGCCTGCCCACTCTTCATGGTTTGAGAAGCTCTAGGGGAGAAATCATTTCAGGGCTTCCTCCAGGCTTTGACTGGAGCATGGGAAGCAAGGAGACTACAGACTGATATAAAGATGGTTTAACAATGAAAAACAAGGTGTTTGTACAATCATCCCAGCCACCTCATAAGTAAAGTTCTTATGTTCCTAATATAAGATCACCAAGCCCAACTCTTCAGGCTTTTTTGAAGTGTTCTCGCTTGGATTTTTCCCCCAATAGCATTTTGCTCCTTTAAATTGACAAAGAATGGCTGAAAAAAGGCAGAATAATTTTTCAGCACAGCACTAATGTCTTCTGTCTGGTGCCTAGATATGGTCTTCCATCCAGGCAACTTGCTTGCAGGCCAGACCTGCTCAGCCTCCTCAATATACTGTCAGCTCCTGGGTATGTATATCTCTACATACATGCTTGTGTAGCACTTTCTATACAAAGATGTAACATTTTTTATGAATGTAGGTAACTTAAGAGCTGCATGAGGCTTAATCAGTTTCACCAATTCATTGATTTTTATGGAACTAGGGAAGGCAACTGCAATTAGAAAAACAAAGCAAACATGCTTTATTCCCCTCTCCTACTGTGAGATGTGTCCTTTTCTTCCCACCCCTCCAGTACACTGATACATTTATCAAGCTACTGATGCCGGTGCAGGGATGGTGCTATAGCAGTAATAAGAGTCATATACTTCTGGTGTTGTTTAGAACTAATTACCGAAGGCAGTAATTTTGTACACGGTTGAACTGGTTTGGGATTGTAGCCTTAGTGCACTAAGTGCACTAAGATTTTTTTTCCTCATAAAGGATTAGGTGACTGTGTAAGATGGGTTAAAAACCAGTAGTGAAAGATAGGCAGTGAGTTTATGACTGAGCAAAACTAAACTCCTACCTTAAGTCCAGTTGAGCAATACTAAGTCTATTGGGCAATGCTGGTTCTCTCACTCTGCTAATGTTATGATCACTCTTTCCTTTCCATCGGAAGAGAAAAAATATTCCAAGCATGCAGAGAGTTCTTTTTAAAACTTTATTGCAAATGGGTTTCTTTCCCATTTTTCTGTTCACCTGAGCACATGCTCGCATCCCCTTTTTGAATCCTGCCCCCCCCCCCCGGTCACTTCTTCTCTCCTCCTTTTCCCTAATTGGCTGGGGTACCGGGAGTTTACAATCTTTCCACCCGCCTACTCTACACTGCTCCAACACCGGCCCTTCTTCCCAATCCAGCCCTGCCCCCGGTGGGCTACGATAGGCTCATTTTGTTCTGCCCAGCTTGTCAATAAACAATCAGGAAGTATTTGGCCCTCCTGCCTACATGCCTGTTTCCCCACACCTTGTGCTATCTGATTTTAACCCCTCCCCTCTTCTGGGCTAAGTAAGTTTCTTTGTTACCTTTTTAATCTTTCTACTCCCTTGTTTCAAATCATCCTTTCACACCTATCACTAACATAGTTGGTTGTTAGGCTCAGCATCTGAAAGGGTGTTTTAAAAGCCTTCGAAGTGTTGCAGTATAATCTGTCATGTTCAGACAAAATTAGTAACTTATTCTTGTTGCCCTTGCGAAACCAGTCTTATTTTTCCCAAGATATAATCAGTGCATGATTTAATACCATTAGTCATTGTTCGTTTTTTAAAAATGTATTTCCTGGCTCTGTAATATATGCCCAGAAATCTCTATCACCAAATTAAATGTAATAATAAAATGTTGGCAATAATACTCGCAGTTGTAATTTGTTGGATGTGCTGACACTGACAAATGCTTTAAATTAAATTGTGCACTTTTTATGAGTACTTGATGAATTCTTTTATGCAACAGACATACCGATTATAACACTGATAAACACTTTAGTCTCTTTCTCATTCATGGGGTACAGATAATCCTCTGTTTAAAAATAGATCAAAATAGAAAGATTTATTGCTTTGCAAACCAATCACAGCAAGCTAACCCTGTCAGTTTAGTTCTGCCAAAACCCAGCATAAGGGGATGGCCCCAGTTTTCAGTTTTGTCTAGCCACCATTTGTACAGAGGCTTATTCAAGTGGTTTATTACATTGTTAAATGTCAGTTTTCATCAATTGTGAAAATGAAGCAAACAAGGATGGAGTTCAGAAACCTGATAAAAAGGCTGGCCCATATGGCATAATCCAAGTCATGTTTACATCTTGTATTTATGTGTTTGTATAAACACACAGAGAGACACGAAGAACTGCTGTGCATGTATTAATGTTTAAAATGTATTTGAAAGGAGAAGAGATTCCACTTCTATTACTGTACATTTTGACAGAAGGGTGTTTGTTTATTTTATCAGTCTCCAGTGGACACACAAAAACATATTGCAAGCTAAACAAACAGTAAAACGAATCTCTGTTGCCTTTGGCAGTTTTGGTCTACTTTGCTTTTTATTTGGGACCCCAGGAGATG